CCCGCGACCATGCGCCCTCAATCAGAATTCGACCAATCAGATTTAAGGAAGTAAAAGTATCAGCCACATTGAAACCCAAAACATCTAGAAGAAAAAAACCGCATATCGACTTGCACTTTCTGCTACAGCACCGACACACTCACTTCCTACACGAAAAGAAAGTTCATCTCGATTTAATACCACACTCGAAAACACCGTAAATATGCCGTGAATTTTATTTATATTGTAAATAACGCATTATTGTGAGAAACAGAGTCCTTCGTCTTCACTGTGACATGATTGCAAACAGTCTACAGAAAGCAGAGTAACAGCAGGAAAAACCAGAAGAACCGAGAGAGTGTCTACTAATATTTTATTGAGTATATGTACAGTGAAATGTATTCTGTTTCATTCTTCTTCTTCTTTCTCATAGGGCCCAGCGCTCGAGTGTAGTCCTATTACCGTGCATACCTAAAACCCAGAAGGGAAGTATTTAATATAGATATCCAGGGGAGATAATTCAGTCGTTAACACTAAAATTGATGACGTCACACGCAGAAAAGCCCACTCAGTCGTTAACACTAAAATTGATGACGTCACACGCAGAAAAACCCACATGATGAAGTGATGTAGATATGGGGCCGTAGGTTCATGTGGTTGCTAAGGCGCCATCTTGGATCCAAGATGGCGGATTTCCTTAGCAACCCCACCCCATATCCACATCACTTCATCATTTATTGACTAAATCTCGCGTTGTCGCGGTTTAAACCGTGACAAGCTTTCAGGCGACAACACGACAATATGACACGACAACCACACCTGACATGGCACCCCAGTTGAGAAAACAAAATAAATGTACGCAAATCAGGACTTTAAAAAAAAGGCATTCATTGAAAGACATGATTTAATATCTTAATATGTGTTAGACTTTCAAAGGGACATAACGTGAAGAGCAATAGTTTTTAATGTATGTATGTGTTGTATGCACTTCCATTTTAATTTTTCATGAAAGCCCTGTTAAAAATAGCAAGTTCATATCGCACTATGAAATTATTGAATCCTCTTAGCAATACTTATCTATCATCAGAAGTTAATTGTGCAAATGCCAATCTTCAAAATTTAAATGAAGAAATATTGTTGGTATCTCGGCATCTTAAGTTAGCACTTACATGTGTAGTAAGTCATATTAGCCATCACACACAATAAACATTTCTGGCAAAACCACTACGTATAGAATATGTGTCAGATATGGAACGTGTTGAGATACTTGATATTTATATGTTTTCAATACTTTACAGAGAGTAAAGCATATTTGTAAATGGAACTTTTTTTTATTATTTTGAGACAACTTTTCTTCAATCAGTTCCTTTTGTCCGAAACAGAAACCGTAGTTATCGGCAGCAACGTAAACAAATGACTTTTTTCCACGTTTTCAATGCGTATTCCGATTCTATCTGAACTCGAAAATGAATTATTTATAGAAAAAAAGTTGTTGCATGATCATACATTCTAAGTCAACATCATATGAAAACATGAACTGTTAAAACATTACGATTTAAAAAGCAGTTTTGTTATGCTATTCTATTTACTATAAGTAGGCTCTCCTTCCTCTGTTATTTATCCTGATCCGTCAATTTGATATATTTAAATTTTGCATTTGAATAAAAAATAAAAAAAATGCTTCAGCAATATAATTAAATCATACTATTTTACTGAACCGGGAAATTTATAAATTATGTTAATCTAATAGCCCATGTATCTCATTTGACCCCAAGTACCGACAGAGGAGAGAACAGAATAATCACAACAGTCTTCCCTTGGAGGGCCCCAAAGCAAAATCAACCTAACCAGTCACTTATATTCCTCCCTTTCGCATAAACTACCGTATATAAAAACGTAAAATTAACTCTCTCCGATACATGCCCATTAATAAAACAAAAAAGTTCACCTGTGTTCCAACTTCGACAAAGATACTACCGAGGTAAATATTTTTAGATATTCATAACATAAACAGCATGTCTGTCAATTCCATTAATACATGCACCATACTAACTGCTATGATTTAACGTAATCCTTGCGCTATCTTTTTACCATTTGGCAACTTTTCGCTTCGTAGCTAACGCGGTAACGGTTTTCACGCGTTAACACTTCCCACGGCAAGTTATTTTGTTTACAATGGAATGGCGTGCTACGCGCATGCGTTATAGCTGGGAAATCCTTGACTAAAACGTTGGTCAGATAGGTAGAAATCCCGATAATTGTCTTAAAATTATTCATTTTTATGAATATATATCAGCAAAATCCGATCGTTATTTTCCATAAGGAGACTCACTTGGTATGTTTATGTAATATTTGAAAAAAAAGACAAAAAATAAATGAAATGGAAATCCATCTTGTTTTATAATTAGTCTATTAAATACGCAAGGGTTAATTCAGTCCTCATAGCAGTACTCTTCAAATGGTAATAAGATTGCTCTTCAAATAAGAAAAGATTCCCCTAGTACAACGTTCATGGTACAGCCTGTATTAAGGATAAAATTAGCAGAAGATCGAATATCAACAAAACACCTTGTGTGAACACAAATAATGTGTTACCTGTTAACCAGGCTCGTTCGGTGTATAATGTATATAATGTATATAATGCATATAGACATGTTACATGCGATGTAACCAGAGTGTAATTTAAATGTTATTAAGAAAGATATATAAGATAATATTACAATAATTTACCATTACCATGGAATAATTTCTTTTAATTTTGAAACAAGTCATAAAATGCATAGTATTGATAACATAAATGTTTAACATGTTTAATAAAGAGTCTCATTCAAACAGCTTATTAAAATCACATACTGTATAACGGGAATTTTCGCTGCAGTTTATTTTTCGCCTTTTTCGCCCTCCGTAATGAGGGTGAATTTATCATTAGAGCAAATATCTGGACGAACGTTTCCCGGTATACAGTAAAAATATGAATGCTACCTACTATCGTCAGTAGAACGTTCAATATTTAAACAAGACAAAAATAGGTAACAAAGAATTGCAAGCGCTCCGAATGTAGCACCTCTTGGCTATTTCAAGATATCTAAATTGTGAGGTGTTGTTTTACATAAAATCTAAATCAGTGAAAGGTAGTCTATTTTATTTAATTATCTTTTAATATATATTCAAGTAATTTGTTTAAGGTGTCAATTGTTATACACCGACCTTTGTTCGTAGGAAGCACGTGCTTTTAGCTGTGAGGGGAACGCTTTGCTGACCAGACTTTGTGGGCCAGATATTTACCTTGTACCCCAACCTGCTCCGTACAAAACACATTTAAGACCACGCATGGAGGAGCTCGCCACCTCAATTAAGTGAGAATTACAATGTGCTTTCTTCACTTATGAGTAGCCTTAATCGATATTAGTTTACTTCGTGATACATGTTTATAAATATTTCTCAAGTGGGGTTTTTCAGCATTTCATGATTCATTTATTTGCATTTATTTGTGAGTGATTTATAGCTTCAATTAAAAATAATACATGGACATAATTACATGCTTAAATGAGATAAAAAAAAAAAAAGAGAAAGAAAAAAGACAAACATGTTGATGAATATATATATATATATATATAAAAAATAGAACAAAAGACAGAGATAGCGTCTCTAGGCCTTTCTCGGGTTGATTCTATATATCTATATATAAAAACTCAAGAACGATGGAAACTGTAGTCTGTAACAATGTTTGTTTTTGTTGCATACAAAGGCTCACGACTTTTTTTGGTTTAACCAATGATTTTATAGGGTCGCAATAGGTATTCTGAGAGGTAATATATCGATAGCACTTAACATGCACGATACATGTTTAAAATCCTTATTTTTGCTCAAAGGGAGAAGACTGGCGAAGACTCGTGTCTGATTCCTGTGGGAGGAGGTGCAGGTTCCCCGGGTATATTTGGGATTATATCAGTTTTCGAAGAAATGATTTCTCAGGTAGGATAAACAAACTAAATTAGACTGATAACAAGAGGCCCAATGGGCCTGCATCGCACATGTGGTATACATCTCACATTTGTAACCTTAAAAGTTATCTTCAATAAAGATAAAGGCAAAATATCAGTACTTATGATTAAAAGTAATTCAATACAACCTGTTGAAAGATTTAAAAACATTTCTCTCCTGTGACCTTGAAAGTCGAACAAGGTCATTATGTTGAACACATCTTATAGCCCTTTATCTCACGATGCAACTTGCAAAACATCACCTACCTATCCTTTTGTTTATTGAAATTAGGTCATTTAAATGTTTAAACATATTTGAGTAAATGTGACCTCGAAAGTGGGTTAAGGTCATTCAAATAAAAAAGCTTGATAGCCCTTCATCAAAGCATGCTACTGGCTAAATATCAACATTATGGGCCTCATGGTATAATCAAGGTCATTTACTTGTATAAACTTGGTAGTTCTTAATCCTAGCATGATACTGACAGATATCAACATTCTAGGCCTTATGGTAATGCAGAAGAAGTTTTTTGAAGATTTTAACATATTTGACCCCAGTGACTTTGAATATAATTTAAGGTCATTAATTTGAACAAACTTTGTATTCCTTAATCCCATCATGTTACAGGCCAAATATAATCATCCTGCAATTTTTGGTTATTCAGAAGAAGTTGTTTAAAGGTGTTTTTTTTTTAAACAATTGACCCCTGTGACCTTGAATATAAGTGAAGGTCGTTCATTTGAACAGACTTGGTAGCCCTTCACCCCAACAGGATACTGGTCAAATATCATCAATCACCCTGGGCATTTTGGTTGTTCAGAAGAAGTTGTTTAAAGGCTTTCAACATATTTGACCCCTGTGACCTTGAATATAAGTAAAGGCCATTCATTTAAACAAACTTGGTAGCCCTTCATCCCAACATGCTACTGGCAAAATATCATAAATCTAGGCCTCTTAGATATTCAGGGGAAGCTGTTTAAAGGTTTTAAACATAGTTGACCCCTGTGACCTTGAAAATGAGTCAAGGTCATTCAATTAACAAACTTGGTAGCCCTTAATTCTAGCATGCTACAACTTAAGTATATCCATTCTAGGACTTTCAGTTATTGAGAAGAAATATATGTCAAGGTCATTCATTTGAACATACTTGGTAGCCCTTCATCACAGCATGCTACTGGCCAAATAGCATCATCCTAGGGGTTTCGGTTATTGAGAAGAAGTTGTTTAATGGTTTTTAACATATTTGACCCATGTGACCTTGAATATAGATAAAGGTCATTCATTTGAACAAACTTGGTAGCCGTTCATCCTAGCATGTTACTGGCCAAATATCATCACCCTAGATCTCTTAGTTATTTAGAAGAAGTTGTTTAAAGATTGTATAAGACAATTGACCCCTGTGACCTTGAAAATGGATGAAGGTCATTCATTTGAACAAACTTGGTAGCATTTCATCCCAGCATGCTTCTGGCCAAATATCATCACCCTGGGCATTTTGGTTATTCAGAAGAAGTTGTTTAAATTTTTTAACATATTTGACCCCTGTGACCTTGAAAATAGGTGAAGGTCATTTATTTGAACAAACTTGGTAGCCCTTTATCCCAGTTTGTTTCTGACCAACTATCATCGTCCTAGTTTAAAGTAAAACATTGACGACGGACGGACGACGGACGACGGACGTACGACGGACGCCGCACCTTCGGGCCAGGTGAGCTAATAAAACCTTTCCCCCCTGTGATACTGTTTTGCAGAATATGAACCAAAAAATAATCTATATAAGCAATAAACTGCATAGATGTGGCAGACATAGTGGTATAACAGCCACATGAGTCACATACACACATATCATTTACATTTGTCTTGCAATGTCACTATGTAAACCCAGTAAACGAATCGAAATGGGTAGTAATACGAACGAGACTAAAACGTTAACAAATGATACGGAAGTCACCTTTGACTCGCGTTTGTAATGTTTGGATGAGAAGCTGATTGGATGAGAAGTTGACTCCTCTATGGTGAAAACATAGCAATACAAGTTATTTCAATTAAAATGGCATTCCCTACGGAAATGAAATTATCTTTATAATTACAATTAGTGGTGGTTGTGTCCACAGACTATATTTGAAAACTTAAGTTACAGGAAAAATACACGTTCTTTGGGCTGATCCATCAGTCGAACATTCTAATGAATCGATGTGGAATATTTATCCTTTTTAATGTCGTTATTATTATTTAAACACAACGATGTGTAAATGTATACATATACAAACATTTTTCAGATGCATACCTCGTTACAGAAAGACGAAACATAAACCGCTGGAATGTTTAGATTATGTTTTTAAAGAACTATTTTCCGAGCACGTATAGGCACATAACTACAGAGTTTCAGTTACGCTCTCATAAATGAACCTCCTCATAGAAATGATAACGAATTGCAATGCTGCACCTAACTTAACTATATATATCAATATACACGTTTTGTAACAGGGTTTACTGGATGATTACGATGACTTGGTGTTTGCCTGTGCATCTGGGTGTACCGCAGCTGGTACCGGTATAAGTAACTACCTCACAGGGTCTCACATCAGGTTTGTACATATAGACTGTCTCTGTTTCCAATATCACACAGGGTCTCACATCAGGTTTGTATATATAAATAGGCTGTCTCTGTATTAAATATCTCACAGGGTCTCACATCAGGTTTGTATATATATATATATCTATACACTGTCTCTGTATCAAATATCTCACAGGGTCTCAAATCAAGTTTGTACATACGACTGTCTCTGTTTCCAATATATCACAGAGTCTCACATCAGGTTTGTACATATAGACTGTCTCTGTTTCCAATATCTCACCGGGTCTCACATCAAGTTTGTATATAGATACAGACTGTATATGTATCAAATATATCACCGGGTCTCACATCAAGTTTGTATATATATACAGTCTGGATATGTATCAAATATCTCACCGGGTCTCACATCAAGTTTGTATATATATACAGTCTGTATATGTATCAAATATCTCACCGGGTTTCACATCAAGTTTGTACATATATACAGTCTGAATAAGTATCAAATATCTCACCGGGTCTCACATCAAGTTTGTATATATATATACAGATTGTATATGTATCGAATATCTCGCCGAGTTTCACATCAAGTTTGTATATATATACAGACTGTATATGTATCACATATCTCACCGGGTCTCACATCAAGTTTGTGTATGTATGCAGACTGTATAGGTATCAAATATCTCACCGGGTCTCACATCAGGTTTGTATATATATATACAGTCTGTATATGTATCAAATATCTCCCCGGGTCTCACATCAAGTTTGTATATATATACATACTGTATATGTATCAAATATCTCACAGGGTCTCACATCAAGTTTGTATATATATATACAGTCTGTATAGGTATCAAATATCTCACCGGGTCTCACATCAGGTTTGTATATATATATACATTCTGTATATGTATCAAATATCTCACCAGGTCTCACATCAAGTTTGTATATATATACACACTGTATATGTATCGAATATCTCACCGGGTCTCACATCAAGTTTGTATATATATACAGTCGAATATGTATCAAATATCTCACCGGGTCTCACATCAAGTTTGAATATATATACAGACTGTATAGGTATCAAATATCTCACCGGGTCTCACATCAAGTTTGTATATATATGCAGACTGTATAGGTATCAAATATCTCACCGGGTCTCACATCAGGGTTGTGTATATATACAGTCTGAATATGCATCAAATATCTCACCGGGTCCCACATCAAGTTTGTATATATATACAGTCTAAATATGTATCAAATATCTTACCGGGTCTCACATCAAGTTTGTATATATATACAGACTGTATATGTATCAAATATCTCACCGGGTCTCACATCAAGTTTGTATATAAATACAGTCTGTACATGTATCAAATATCTCACCGGGTCTCACATCAAGTTTGTATATATATACAGTCTGGATATGGATCAAATATCTCACCAGGTCTCACATCAAGTTTGTACATATATACAGACTGTATATGTATCAAATATCTCACCGGGTCTCACTTCAAGTTTGTATATATATACAGAATGTATATGTATCAAATATCTCACCGAGTCTCACATCAAGTTTGTATATATATATACAGACTGCATATGTATCGAATATCTCGCCGGGTCTCACATCAAGTTTGTATATATATACAGACTATATATGTATCGAATATCTCACCGGGTCTCACATCAACTTTGTATCTATATACAGTCTGTATATGTATCAAATATCTCACCGGTTTCACATCAACTTTGTACATATATACAGACTGTATATATATCAAATATCTCACCGGGTCTCACATCAGGTTTGTACATATATACAGTCTGAATATGTATCAAATATCTCACCGGGTCTCACATCAAGTTTGGTTATATATACAGTCTGTATATGTATCAAATATCTCACCGGGGCTCACATCAAGTTTGTATATATATACAGACTGTATATGTATCAAATATCTCACCGGGTCTCACATCAAGTTTGGTTATATATACAGTCTGTATATGTATCAAATATCTCACCGGGTCTCACATCAATATTGTATATATATACAGACTGGATATGTATCAAATATCTCACCGGGACTCACATCAAGTTTGTATAAATATACAGACTGTATATGTATCAAATATCTCACCGGGGTTCACATCAAGTTTATATATATATACAGACTGTATATGTATCGAATATCTCACCGGGTCTCACATCAAGTTTGTTTATATATACAGTCTGTATATGTATCAAATATCTCACCATATATACAGTCTGTATATGTATCAACTATCTCACTCGGTCTCACATCAAGTTTGTATGTATATACAGACTGGATATTGATCAAATATCTCACCAGGTCTCACATCAGGTTTGTATCTATATACAGTCTGTATATGAATCAAATATCTCACCGGGTCTCATATCAAGTTTGTATATATATACAGTCTGTATATGCGGGTCTCACATCAAGTTTGTATATATATACAGATTGTATATGTATCGAATATCTCGCCGAGTTTCACATAAAGTTTGTATATATATACATACGCTATATGTATCAAATATCTCACTGGGTCTCACATCAAGTTTATATATATATATACAGACTGTATATGGATCAAATATCTCACCGGGTTTCACATCAAGTTTGTACATATATACAGTCTGAATAAGTATCAAATATCTCACCGGGTCTCACATCAAGTCTTTATATATATACAGTCTGTATATGTATCAAATATATCACCGGGTCTCACATCAAGTTTGTATATATATACAGATTGTATATGTATCGAATATCTCGCCGAGTTTCACATCAAGTTTGTATATATATACATACGCTATATGTATCAAATATCTCACTGGGTCTCCCATCAAGTTTATATATATATATACAGACTGTATATGGATCAAATATCTCACCGGGTTTCACATCAAGTTTGTACATATATACAGTCTGAATAAGTATCAAATATCTCACCGGGTCTCACATCAAGTTTGTATCAATATACAGTCTGTATAGGTATCAAATATCTCACCGGGTCTCACATCAAGTCTGCATATATATACAGTCTGTATATGTATCAAATATCTCTCCGGGTCTCACATCAAGTTTGTATATATATATAGACTGTCTCTGTATCAAATATCTCACCGGGTCTCACATCAAGTCTGCATATATATACAGTCTGTATATGTATCAAATATCTCTCCGGGTCTCACATCAAGTTTGTATATATATATACAGATTGTATATGTATCGAATATCTCTCACCGGGTCTCACATCAAGTTTGTATATATATATACAGATTGTATATGTATCGAATATCTCGCCGAGTTTCACATAAAGTTTGTATATATATACATACGCTATATGTATCAAATATCTCACTGGGTCTCACATCAAGTTTATATATATATACAGACTGTATATGTATCGAATATCTCACCGGGTCTCACATCAAGTTTGTTTATATATACAGTCTGTATATGTATCAAATATCTCACCGGGGCTCACATCAAGTTTGTATATATATACAGACTGTATATGTATCAAATATCTCACCGGGTCTCACATCATGTTTGTTTATATATACAGTCTGGATATGTATCAAATATCTCTCCGGTTCTCACATCAAGTTTGTATATATATACTGTCTGTATATATATACTGTCTGTATATGTATCAAATATCTCACCGGGTCTCACATCAAGTTTGTATATATATATAGACTGTCTCTGTATCAAATATCTCACCGGGTCTCACATCAAGGTTGTATATATATACAGCCTATATATGTATCAAATATCTCACCGGGTCCCACATCAAGTTTGTATATATATAGAGTCTGAATATGTATCAAATATCTCACCGGGTCTCACATCAAGGTTGTATATATATAGTATATGTATCAAATATCTCACCGGGTCTCACATCAAGTTTGTATATATATATAGACTGTCTCTGTATCAAATGTCTCACCGGGTCTCACATCAAGTTTGTATATATATATAGACTGTCTCTGTATCAAATATCTCACCTGGTCTCACATCAAGTTTGTATATATATACAGCCTGTTTATGTATCAAATGTCTCACCGGGTCTCACAACAGGTTTGTATATATATATACAGTCTGTATATGTATCAAATATCTCACAGGGTCTCACATCAAGTTTGTATATATATATATACAGACTGTATAGATATCAAATATCTCACCGGGTCTCACAACAAGTTTGTATATATATACAGTCTGAATATGTATCAAATATCTCACCGGGTATTACATCAAGTTTGTATATATATACAGTCTGTATATGTATCAAATATCTCTCCGGGTCTCACATCAATCTCACCGGGTCTCACATCAAGTTTGTGTATGTATACAGACAGTATAGGTATCAAATATCTCACCGAGTCTCACATCAGGTTTGTATATATATATATACAGACTGTATATGTATCAAATATCTCACCGGGTCTCACATCAAATGTATCAAATATCTCACCGAGTCTCACATCAGGTTTGTATATATATGCAGACTGTATATGTATCAAATCTCTCACCGGGTCTCACATCAAATGTATCAAATATCTCACCGGGTCTCACATCAAGTTTGTGTATGTATACAGACAGTATATGTATCAAATATCTCACCGGGTCTCACATCAAGTTTTTATCAATATACAGACTGTTTATGTATCAACTATCTCACCGGGTCTCACATCAAGTTTGTGTATGTATACAGACAGTATAGCTATCAAATATCTCTCCGAGTCTCACATCAGGTTTGTATATATATATATACAGACTGTATAGATATCAAATATCTCACCGGGTCTCACATCAAGTTTGTATATATATACAGACTGTATATGTATCAAATATCTAACCGGGTCTCACATCAAGTTTATATATATATACAGACTGTATATGTATCAAATAATTCACCGGTCTCACATCAAGTTTGTGTATGTATACAGACAGTATAGCTATCAAATATCTCACCGAGTCTCACATCAGGTTTGTATATATATATTTACAGACTGTATATGTATCAAATATCTCACCGGGTCTCACATCAACTTTGTACATATATACAGACTGTATATGTATCAAATATCTCACCGGGTCTCACATCAGGTTTGTATACATATATAGTCTGAATTTGTATCAAATATCTCACCGGGTCTCACTCCAAGTTTGTATATATATACAGTCTGTATATGTATCAAATATCTCACCGGGTCTCACATCAAGTTTGTATATATATACAGACTGGATATGTATCAAATATCTCACCAGGTCTCACATCAAGTTTGTATCTATATACAGTCTGAATATGTATCAAATATCTCACCGGGTCTCACATCAAGTTTGTATATATATACATACTGTATATGTATCAAATATCTCACCGGCACTCACATCAAGTTTGTATGTATATACAGACTGTATATGTATCAAATATCTCACCGGGTCTCACATCAAGTTTGTATATATATACAGTCTGGATATGTATCAAATATCTCACCGGGTGTCACATCAAGTTTGTATCAATACAGTCTGGATATGTATCAAATATCTCACCGGGTCTCACATGCAGTTTGTATATATATACAGTCTGTATATGTATCAAATATCTCACCGGGTCTCACATCAAGTTTGTATATATATATAGAATGTCTCTGTATCAAATATCTCACCGGGTCTCACATCAAGGTTGTATATATATACAGACTGGATATGTATCAAATATCTCACCAGGTCTCACATCAAGTTTGTATCTATATACAGTCTGTATATGTATCAAATATCTCACAGGGTCTCACATCAAGTTTGTATATATATACAGACTGTATATGTATCAAATATCTCACCGGGTTTCACATCAATTTTGTATATATATACAGTCTGGATATGTATCAAATATCTCTCCGGGTCTCATATCAAGTTTGTATATATATACTGTCTGTATATGTATCAAATATCTCACCGGGTCTCACATCAGGATTGTATATATATATATACAGTCTGTATATGTATCAAATATATCACCGGGTCTCACATCAAGTTTGTATATATATATAGAATATCTCTGTATCAAATATCTCACCGGGTCTCACATCAGGATTGTATATATATATATACAGTCTGTATATGTAGCAAATATCTCACCGGGTCTCACATCAAGTTTGTATGTATATACAGACTGTATATGTATCAAATATCTCACCTGGTCTCACATCAAGTTTGTATATATATACAGCCTGTGTATGTATCAAATATCTCACCGGGGCTCACATCAAGTTTGTATATATATACACACTGTATATGTATCAAATATCTCACCCGGTCTCACATCAAGTTTGTATATATATACAGTCTGGATATGTATCAAATATCTCTCCGGGTCTCACATCAAGTTTGTATATATATACTGTCTGTGTATATATACTGTCTGTATATGTATCAAATATCTCACCGGGTCTCACCTCAACTTTGTTTATATATATAGACTGTCTCTGTATCAAATATCTCACCGGGTCTCACATCAAGTTTATATATATATACAGCCTGTATATGTATCAAATATCTCACTGGGTCTCACATCAAGTTTGTATATATATACACACTGTATATGTATAAAATATCTCACAGGGTCTCACATTATGTATCAAATATCTCCCCGGGTCTCGCATCAAGTTTGTATATATATACAATCTTGATGTGAGACCCGGTAAGATATTTGATACATATTCACACTGTATATATCAAGAAACTTGATGTGAGACCGGGGCTCACATCAAGTTTTTATATATATATATACACAGACTGTATATGTATAAAATATCTCACCAATTCTCACATCACGTTTGTATATATATACAGACTGGATATGTATCAAATATCTCACCAATTCTCACATCAAGTTTGTATATATATACAGACTGTATATGTATCAAATATCTCACCGGGTCTCACATCAAGTTTGTATGTATATGCAGACTGTATATGTATCAAATATCTCACCGGGTCTCACATCAAGTTTGTATATATATACACACTGTATATGTATCAAATATCTCACAGGGTCTCACATCAAGTTTGTATATATATACAGACTGGAGATGTATCAAATATCTCACCAATTCTCACATCACGTTTGTATATATATACAGACTGTATATGTATCAAATATCTCGCCGGGTCTCACATCAAGTTTGTATATATATATACAGACTGTTTATGCATCAACTATCTCACCGGGTCTCACATCAAGTTTGAATATATATACAGATTGTATATGTATCGAATATCTCGCCGAGTTTCACATCAAGTTTGTATATATATACATACGCTATATGTATCAAATATCTCACCGGCAAATATCTCACCGGGTCTCACATCAAGTTTATATATATATACAGACTGTATATGTATCAAATATCTCACTCGGTCTCACATCAAGTTTGTATCAATATACAGTCTGTATATGTATCAAATATCTCACCGGGTCTCACATCAAGTTTGTATATATATATACAGACTGTTTATGCATCAACTATCTCACCGGGTCTCACATCAAGTTTGTATATATATATACAGACTGTTTATGCATCAACTATCTCACCGGGTCTCACATCAAGTTTGTATATATATATACAGACTGTTTATGCATCAACTATCTCACCGGGTCTCACATCAAGTTTGTATATATATACAGTCTGTATATGCATCAAATATCTCACCGGGTCTCACATCAAGTTTGTGTATGTATACAGACTGTACAGGTATCAAATATCTCACAGGGTCTCACATCAGGTTTGTATATATATATATACAGTCTGTATATGTATCAAATATCTCACCGGGTCTCACATCAA